CGGCTTGGAAGACACAGTGCAGATGGAGAAAACTGAGTCCTTGCAACGCTTCTGCGGCTGCGTCGATCTCTGCTATACCGTCACTCTGCGGGGCTGTGTCGGCGTCGTTGATGGTGGTCTTGTTGTTATTATTTGTAGTAAAAGCGTCTGCATCTGCATTCACCTTTTCTTCGACCCCCCCTTCAGGTGTAACGGCAGTGGCCTCTCCAATAGTCACTTCTTCTTCTTTCTTCTCCTTTTCCTCCTCCCCTTCCTCTTCCTCCTCTTTTTTCGGCGCATCCTCTTGGCTGGCGATGGCGATGGCGGCGGCGGCGGCAGGGCGGGCAGGGCGAGCAATGCGACGGCGACGCCGCGATCGGCCAACCCTCGATCGGACATTCCGCTTGATTGGTATCCTTACCGTGGGCTGCGTCACTATTTTCTCTGCGCCGTCGTCTGATGAAGCAGACGATGAGGATATGTCAGGCTCTGCCAGATCCCTGTACTGCTCGCAGAACTGCACAACATTCCGGTTGATCTTGTAGAGGTTCAGCACCGTCATCTCCTTCAGTTCGAGGGCGCGGCTTCGGTACCTCTGGTCTGTCATCGAGCGTGTCCTAAAGAACGTGCGTACATTCCGCACAAGGAGGTCAATGTCGTCGTGGTACTGTGAGAGGCTGGTATACTCTTCATTCTCAAGTTTCTCCATCACATCGCGCAGACCAATCCGCCGGCCATGCGTGTGCTGCTGCCATTCGTCGTAAAAGTCGTGTCCCGGCGTAAAGTCGAGGTCAGCACTTAAGAATAGTGAGAACTTTCGGGAATTGATGTACTGACCCACCCACTTCGTCAAGACGTAGCGCAGCTGTCGCCGCCGGTACTCTACACGGCGCCAAAAAGCAAGCTCGCGGTGTCGCGTTGCACGCACCTGCTCCATCGAGGGTGGGGGAGGCGGCGACACATCGTCGGGTAACTCCACCCACGTGGCGGGCGCACAGTGCAGCAGCGCCAATTTCACCACACGGTAGACATACAGCAGAAAGCGGCGCAGGTCAGCTTCTGTGGGCACGCATGGTGCAACACACTCAGTCGTGCGCAGTTGTGTGTTCAAGCGTGAGTCACCAAAGAAACGTGAGATAACATCTACATGGAGAGTGGGCACCACTACAAGAACATCCAGATCACGCAAGAGGTTAAGGTAGTAACACAAAGCCTCCATATGTCTCTGACGCTCTGCACGCTCCTCGTCTGTAAAATTGGCAGCGCTGTGGTCGCTGGGAAGGCCATGCTCTGCTAGCCAAATGTCCAGTCCCTGTAGAAGAACTAGTAATGGTCCAGAAGAGCGTTGTAGTGCTGCGATACAAGAGTAGATATGACCAGTGTCGAAGCTACCCCCGTGAGAGGCATTACAAGCCTCCTGTTCATTTGATTCCCCACTGGATGTCATACCGGTGGAAGTTGCTGCCACAACTGCCGCGTTACTATAATCCACCACAAGGTGTGGAAGGTGCAAAGTGAATGTTCGAAGCGATGGAAGCGCCTTTATAAAAGCCATGGCAGCTTTTTCTGTAGCAAACTCACATGCCTCGCTGCCATACAAACGCTTTGATGATGCTGCATTCAGGAATAGCATCAATGGGTTCGCTGTATGGGGAATAGGAAAACTACTTAACTCCTGTATAGCGTCATTGGCATTACTGCAGTCCCTTCGCTCGCGTGCGAGTGCCGTTGCAGCACTCGGCCACAATGCCGCCACACGAGATAGTAAGTCTTTCCTTGTGCTATGTAGCAAATGCTCGAGGTGTTCCTCGAGACTGTTTACAACAGAAGCAGCCCCACGCCGTACCGATGACTTAATGCGGTGAGCAGCCATGAGAAAGTCTTCCTTCTCTATGGTTAGGGCGCTGGATGGCACCTGCAACTTTCTGCTGGTGGTGTAAAGCTGCGGCAAGGACGTCCGCAGGCGGTTAAGCCCTGCCTCAGTACAGAGCGCCTGTATCTCCGCCCCTGACCACCCTTCGCAACGGGTTGTGAGCTCCTCCAGTATCACCTCCCGCTCGGGGTGGTCGGCCGGGAGCATCGGCTGCGTCACGATGGAGAGAATATGCCGACGCGCTGCGGCATCAGGAAGGGGGAAGTACAACTCGCGGTCAAACCGCCCAGGACGGCGGAGCGCCGGATCAATTGTATCCGGTCTGTTTGTGGCGCCGATGACGACAACTTGCCCTCTGTCATCTAATCCATCAATGAGTGCAAGTAGGGTTGAGACGAGGGCTGCCTGCGACTGCTCGGACTTGGCGTGCCGCACAGGTACCAGCCCGTCCATCTCGTCGAAAAAGATGATACTTGGCTGTTGGCGCTTGGCTTCCTCAAAAAGCAGACTCAGTTGCCGTTCGCTCTCGCCAACCCACTTGGAGAGAATGTCAGCGCCCTTGCGCATGAAAAACGTAACCTTGCGATGTGCACAATGTGTACCTTCGTTTGCGAGCGCCCGTGCCATTAGTGTCTTCCCTGTCCCGGGTGGACCAACGAAAAGAACCCCACGCGGCGGGGTTAAGTTCATCGCCCGGAGTACATCGGGGTAGAGCAGAGGAAACAGCACCATCTCGCGCAGCAGCACAACGTGACCTGGAAGGCCTCCGACCTTTTCAAAAGAAACTGACGCATCAATATTCAGCGGTGTGATGTCGCCAAGCGGTGCAGGGGCCTCTGCTCTAAACTGACTGCCATTATTTTGGTCCGCATCTGTTGCTCCTGCTGCTCCCACACCGCTGTTTGACTCATCGAGGCCGAGAAACATGTCCTCCAAGCGACGTCGGTGTCCCTTGCCTCTTCTTCGATCAGACCCCTTCTTTTCCTCAGCGCCGCCACTCTGCATCACATTGTTAAGGTAATGATTAATAGGAACATTCTTTGCAGTGCTCTCTTTGGCGTTCCGGTTCACACGACGAGCCTCGCCTTCGCTCATACATCCAGCTGAGGAGGTTGAGGAGGATGAATGCTCCACGAGCATCGATTCGGCTTCTTTGCCCCGTCCGTGTGGGACCTCTCGCAGCGACTCGTTTGAGATGGAGGAGTCGATTGAAGGCTCGCGGTCACGCTTCTGTGGAAGAACTCTATATCGGTTGCCATTGCGCCTTTTTCCACGCAGCTGCGAAGAGGCAATACCGCCCTCACTACCCTCACCCGCACTGCTTGCGTCATTGTTGTCGTCGTCACCATCGTCCACATCCCGCGCACCGAAAAACTGCATGGAATCCTCATCCAGTGAGTGGAGTGTGGAGCTCATCTTCAGGACGGCCCGCCTTGCCGCATCCCGCTCAGGGTATCGAGAGTTTATCTGCAGCTCCTCATCTTCCGCGCGCCGCCGTGACGGGGGCAAGAGGGCCTTGGTGACGTACAACGCGTCGTACGACGCCGGGGCCGGACGTGGGATGCGGCACCCGCGACCCAGCCGCTCCGTGGGCGCAATCTGCGGCGTGTCGCTTACAGCGCCAGAGGCTTCCTCGTTGTCGTCGCCACGAATTGTGTGGCGGGGGGAGCGAACCTTTTGCTTCGACTGGGAACGTGTCACGACCATTTTTTCGTTCCTTTCCTCGCCCCCTTTCTCGGCTGCCGCCCTCCCCACCCACTAGTACACAGACGCAGACGGGCAGGGAAAACTCCCTTCTCGACCACTCTGCCCTTGTCTCTCTCCTTACGTATATAAAGAATACGCACACACCGTAGAAAAACAAACCAGTAAGAAAGAAACGAAGCCGCAGCCATGACAAATATGGCATAAAAGCAAAAGGAAGGCGCGCATCAAATGCGGAACAAAAATATGCCAGATATCTCAAATATTGGTCATCTCAACACCAAAACCAAAGTGCATAGATGTGCGGTGTTGCTTTTCCCTCCTTTCATTTCTTTAACGACTATTTATTCGACTCGTAATCCCCATTGGGTCATTTTTTTTTTTTCGTGGGTCCCCTCGTTTACTATCGGTTTCTTTGTTTGCCGGTATGTGTGCCTGTGCATCCACCCGCACCCTCTTGCTCATCACACGCCCGTAGGGAAGGAAAAGGATGTTCATTCTTCAGTTACGCATTTAGTGCCGCTTCTTCACTGAGGTGAGGGGCGAAACGCCTGCGGCCCTCTCCATCTCCCTTCGCTTCTGCGCACGTTTACGAGCAGCCTCACGGCGCTGATCACGCTTCGCATCGGCCTCCTGCTGGATTGCCACCAAGTCGTCCCGCGCCTTGTGCTTCACCTCGCTATCCTCAATCCAATCGATGTTGTGCTTCAACGCAACTGCAGCGTCGCGGCGTTCCTGCACGCGTGCCTTCTCCATGCGGTGGTTCCACAGCGCCTCCTTCCGCTGGTCTTTTATCTTCTCAACACGCCTCATAACCTTGAGTGTGTTATGCAGAAGCTCCCGGTTGTATTTAACGGGTACGTGACGACGCTGCTCGAAGTCCATCGTGCTATCCACCGCAAGTTCCTTGCCGTTCGCCTTGCGGAATGTCTTGGTCCACTTGAGCTTCATCGGGTTGCGCTTCATACCAAAGTTTTTGCGGCACTTGGAGGCACAGAAACGAAATATTTTACAGTCATTGCGCACAAAGACTTGGCCGTGACCAGGGTAGACGGGCGCACCGCAAAAAGAGCAGTTCTCAATCCTCATTGCGGCACTATTCCTTTTTGCGCCCACAGCGTCGACATGAAAACGCAACAGAGAGAGAGAAAGAGAGAAGACGAACGGAAAAAAAAAGAATTTAGAAAAAGCAGCACGAAGGGGTTCCAAGCATTACTCAACTGTCTTAAACGAAGCAACCACGGAGATGAAACGTAGCCTTTCCTTTTGTGTCAGGAAGTTCATTCTACATGTTCTGTTTCTTGCTTGTGTTACTTCAGTTTTGTTGTGTGTTTTTTTCGTTGTGGTTTCTCTTCCTTTCCGTCTTTTTTTTTTTTTTTTTTTNCCTGCCACAAGCCTCCACCTGTGATGTACATGTAGTGTAAATACAGCAACGATTGCGAAAAAAGCTGTCTCGTTGTGGCCGGGCTTTGTGGGCCCCACGTACCATACACAGCACTACTCTCGGCTCGGCGCCAGAAGGGCGTTTAACAACAAACGTTGCCGTATCTCGCCAATCGACTCGCCCTCAACCGTGCACATTCCCTCATCTAGCAGAAAGCACTTCTGCAGATCGCAGTTGATGTCAAGCAAGGAAGGGCTCCGAAAGACAGTCTCCTGCAGCAGTTTCAAGAGTGTAGTCTGGTGTTCGCGTCGTTCCACTGATTCTACCGCGGCATTCCGCACAATCGGACGCAGGTTCATGCATTTTTCGGCGACTGCCGGATACGGGGTAGAGATATAAAAGGCCTCGATACCCGGTTTTGTTCCGAGCGCCTGCACCATCTTTTCAATGTCCTGTTGATTTATTTCCGGGTTTCCACTCAAGTCGAGACGACGCAAGGGCCTGTGAGGATTGTTACCATTGCACAGTTCCACAAGGAGGGGGCCGTGCACTGCTTCGAATTCATTGTGGCTGAGATTGATGTTTTGAAGCGATGGGTGCTTAGCGATCACCTGAATCAAATCCGCCACACCAGTCACTTGGGCCTGTGGATCACTACAATACTGTTTCTTCAGGGAGCCAAGTCTGTTGTAGGAGAGATCCAGTTCAAACAAGTTCTCATTGGCAGCAATACCGCGGAGTAACACAGGGGCTGCTGTGATGCCGTTATACGCCAGCACAAGCCGATGCAGTACCGGTGAACTAACCAAGAGATGATTCACTGCCTCAAGGCCGTTGCAGATATTATTACGGCTAAGATCGACCTCTCGAAGGGATGTTGGCATTGTGGCTGGAGAAGGAAACAAGACACGCATTCCGGCCTCCTGAATGTTGTTTCCACTGAGTCGCAAAACCTGCAATGATGGACGGCGTCCACGAAGCGCAGTGCCGTACAGCGCTGCAGCAATGAAGTGCAACGCCGTAGGATCGTGTGGTTCCGCTACACTCCCACAGGCGTCGTTACTTTCAAGGTCCAATTCCTCAAGTGCCGAGGCGGTACCGATAGTGCACAGCATAGCAGAACACAGTGTGGGACCAAGATAGTTTCCAGCGAGTGACAAGCGGCGCAGCCTGGTGTTTCCCTCTAACGCCACTGACATTGCCCCCATAGCGGCCAAAGCCATCTTTTGTTGCGATTTACTCGTCTTCTTCCCCGCAAGTTCGTTACGCCGCAGGATAAGTGTATGGAGGACGCTGTGCGGCGACCCCAATACGAGCTTTGCTATGTAGTGCAATCCACGGAATCCGATGTCATTCCCCGTGAGGTCCAGCACCTCAACCGAATGATTGTCAGCAAGGGCTGTGGCAACCATGCGGGCACCTTCTGGTCCAAGCGCGTTGCCGGTGAGGTCGAGTCCTCGTAGCCGGTGATACTCGCGTAGCGGGCTGACGAGTCGCCAGAGCGGCAGATCCTGCCAGCTTTCCACATCCGGAGTCGCGGAGTCGCGCTCGGGGTCCATAGTGGCTGGATTAATCACAGGCGGCTCTTCCCCCTCTGCGCCACTGTGGATCTGGTTGTAACCAAGGCGTAGGTACCGCAGAAACTTATTCTTCTTAAGAACCTCGCTGATCGCCTCCAGTCCACTGTACGCCTCGCCAAAGACAGGGTCCTCTCCCTGGTAGTCAGGGTCCTCATCGAGCTCTGGTGTTGGCATGTTCAGTTGATTATCTGAGAGGTCCAATGCAACGATGGCGATGTTCTTTGTGAGAGCTTTGCCAACAACCCCAAATCCGTGGGCCCCTAATGCATTGCTGCTGAGGTCTAGTATTTTGATCGTTTCGTTCACGTCAATAGCCTTCGCAAGAAGGCGGAGCGGGATGAGCGATACGTGCTCCTCCTCATTGGGTGCCCCCAGCTGGTTATGGTCGAGCAGCAACACACGAACTTTCTTGTCCTGCATAAGCAGCTGACATATGTTGCGGAACGCGTCCAACTCATATGCGGCGCGGAGACGGATCGCATCATTATAGTCGGTGTACTCCACCTGCTGACTCTGGCACCACGCCTTGAGCTCCTCATTGGTGGAGAGATCGACTTCATCCTCCACCTCCTCATCCTCTTCTCCGTCACTGTCGTCGCTGGTTTTCTTCTTCGGCTTTGGTGTGGGAAGAGGGAAGCGCAACTTCAGCTCCTCCAGCCGCGCCATCACCGTCGCGGGTGATGCCTCAGTGCGTAACTGTGGCATAACAGCGCCATCGCCGAGATCGAGGCACGTGATATCCGCATTGTACAGAGTCATCAGACGCCCGAGTCGACTCACGTCGTCATAGCTCATCACGGGATGTGGCTTCACGCGATGAATGAATGGCAAAACTGGGCGCAGCACCTCCAGCTCCGCCTCGTCTGGAATGGCGACGGGTACCTGCTGCGCGTACCGTGACACTGCCGCGTCACCACTGCTGATGGCCGCAAGCAGCTCGCGTTCTGCGCGCTCACTCAACGAAGGCGCCTCCCACTTCTTCGGCGGGGCGGCAAGTGGAATGCTGTTGGGGTTGATGGGCGGAATGCCTCGCACGTGCAGGCGGACGGTCGCACCGCGCAGTGCACGAGCCAGGCGCGCGGCCTCGATGGCGGCGTAGAGTCCCTCGTCGCCCGACGTTTTCGACTGGAGCGACGGTGACACGAACATCGGGCGTTGCGCACTTTCCTTTATCCGGGCGTGCTGCGCACAGGGTAGCGTGCTGTCCGCAAAGAAAAGAAGAAAGAGAGGAAAATACCACAAAAAGTGAAGAGAGACTACGATATTGAACAACAAGAATAGCTTCACCCTTCTGTCGTCGTCTCTCCTTCTCTCTCCAAATGTACAGGATGTGTGAGTGCATGGCTCTAGTTGTGTGTGTGTTCTGCATCAACAATGCAGGGAGATGGGAACGCTGAAGCAGAAGCGGTCACATCACGGCACTGCGTAACGATAGCCGCTGAACACCAGCGTCCCGCACTTCCCGTGTCACGCGTGAAAAGCAGAGGCCATCGTCGCATGCAAGAACCTCAGGCATGCGGACGTCATAGTAATCAGCTGATTGTAGACGCCACCACGTGTCGGGGTGCGCCTGCTGTAGTACGTAGAGTGCTCGGCGGAATCGTTGCCGGTGCTCCGCCTCGAGACGACGCATCACATCCGCATGGGGATCGACGACGCGCGTGAAGTCCCTCCCCCGCTCCGACGGTGTCGCGAGCCGCAAGTCAAGACGGTGACTCCTCCCCCCACTACTCGCTGAGGGGTGAGAGACAGCACTGCCGTAACTCGGGCTGGCACCGCTCGAGAGCCCGTGGGCAGCAGAAGGCTGATCGGCGCGCATGCCTTGTTCGGCAGTGACGTTATCGCATGACGGAACCCCATCCCTCCCATTACCATCGGCCCTTTCTTTTGCATGTACTGGCTGCGTGCCCCAACGGCGGAGACGTGACGGGGATGGCGACTGAATCTTCAAGAAGTCCACGCGTATCCTGCTGTTCTGCGGGCCAATGGCGCTACTGTCGCTGGTAGACGTTGCACTACCCGCCAGAACTCTGCACTGGCCCTCGCCAACACTTACGGCGCATTGGCGCAGCTTCGCCGCCGAAGTCGAAAGTTGTGGTCTCGCGGAGTCCCGCGTGAGCCCACACGGCAGTACAGGGCCGGCGCACGTTTCTTGGTTCCGCACAGGAACAGCAGCAGCAGCAGCAGCAACAGGGCTGCTAGCAGCCGGCGCGCTACGTCCCTCACCTCTGCGACTTGAATTCCACGCGGCAGTGAAGGCGGCGCCTCGAAGTACGTGAAGGGCGCGCTCGCCTGCTGGCGTGGCGTTGGTGTTGCTGTGGAGTGGCGTACCGACGCCGCTTGGCCGCACCGGCAACGGGGAAAATGCGGCACCGTACATCAGCATCTCCCTCACAAACTCACTGTATCACGTGCCCCCGGTGAATACCAGGCTAGCCGGGGAAGCAAAAGTGTAGAAGCAACACGCCCCGGAGGTAGAAGCAGAGCAGCAACGGCAAACAATCCCCCCCCCTCAAGAAAACAACCAACGATGCAAACAACAACAAAAAAGACGGCACAATGGAAGAACAACCGTCAGCGAATATATGTTCTCATGCATCTCCGCATGCGTACGAAAGAGTGAGAGAAGCATGAAAAAAAAAAAACAGGGATACAGTTCGCTGATCCCAGACGTCACCGATGTAGCGGAAGAGAGCAGACAGCTGCCACACCGGCATCGTCTCTCCGCTCACCTCCCACAAGAAGTTCGTTTGGCAACCACGAGTAAAAGGGCACCCTCGCCGGTACTGTATGGTAAGATTTGATCATCCACCAAGCAAGTCAAGGCAAAAGAAAATCAGAAAAAGAAAGCTGGTGTCTGCATGTAGGCACAGACGAGTGTCAATGGGAGACGGCAGAATGAAGGAAATGGCCATTAGGGAAGAAAAAAAAACATTATAATGATCTTTATTTCCCCACCCCCAACATCCCCACCTTTCGTGCAAACATGTCAGTGTGCTTATGCGCATCGGAGTTATTCCCTTTTCTCTCCCGGCTTCTACCAGGTTCCTTCACCACATAACACCCAAACCCCGCGCACTGCATACTTACAGCATTAGCTCTTCAGCGTCATATCCTTCTTCGATTTCCCCGATTTAGCATCCGATGCCCACTTTTCCTTTGCAAACTGAATCGTCAAATCTTTTACTGGCGCATCGTACGGATCTGCCGTTTCCGGCCAATCCTTGACGTAATTCTTTTGTTTTGGGAGCCATTCCACAAACTGTGCGGCAGCCACCCTAACATTCTTGATGGTGGTAGGGGCAAATTTGGTGCTGATTAAGTTCGTCACCATTGCTGGGATCCAACCAGCGGGGTCGCATTGTGTGATGTAGGTGAGGCACGAGCCACGCTTCCCACTCCCGTCAGTCCAGGGACGTATAAGGTATCCCGTGATCTTTGACACGGCACGCACAGTACTCTCGTTGCTGATCTTCTTTTTTTTCAGGTAGTCCGTCGGCACGTCGTGATGGGGAACAGTTGTGTTGAATATGACATATTCGTCGTTGCCAGCGTTAATCCACGCACGCTGATTTACAAAGTCACGATTCGCGACTCCTGGCACTGGGCTCTTTGCCGCATAGTACCCGATATCGTTGTTTTCGTCAAGTTTTACAATACGGAAGGCTTCGATACGAACATCATCCCAGATTTCGCGAAACACGGCGTCTTGCAGCATATCGTACAAGGTTCCCGGCAGCACATCGGGAAAGACGCCGAACACCTTGATAATTCGCATCGGTTCCCCGGGAATTTTCTTACTCCAAGTGATGACATCGTTGTGATGGCTGTACTGCAGTGTAAAACCATCGAGCGAGTCTGCGAGGCTGCGGAAGGCGAGACAATCCTGCTTCGTTGCAAGTCGGTACGTGCGACCGCCGTGCTGCACCTCCGGCCCCGTGATGGGGAATGGCGTCTGGTACACCACCCCGGTGCCCGCCGACTCCTCAGAGGCGCCGCTCGCCGCATGATTCTTTCCTGAGGTCATTTTCATACAAATAAAACAAATGTATGTATATATGTGTAATACCACGCTTCTTCTACAATCCACCGTTTACCTTCCTTTTTCTTTGTTCGTTCGTTCGCTAGCCCACAGGTGGGCTCTCCTGCCTGTTACACCAGCCTTAGTGCACGTCCAAAGAGTGCGGCGCGGGTGAAAGCAGAACAAGATGGAAGAAAGTGTGGGGGAAAAAACATAACAAATAAATTAGAGCAGCGACTTTTTCGGTCAGCATTGCGGGAAGCTGCAGCTGACCGACCTGACCGCTCCGCAGCCAAGGAAGAAGCAGCAGCAGCAACAACACCACGTGATGATGTTGATGCCACCGAAACAAGACGGTGTGAGGAGAACGTCAGTCACCCTCTCCCATCAACCAACTACAAATCGTTTCAAACGTGGGGAAGCAACAAGTACTCCGCCAACTAAAGAACAAGAATATCTTTTCACATCTCCCCCCTCGACTGCACTCCACACGCACTGTAAATCTTCAATTTCTTCTTTAAAGATGAACCGCGGACCCCTCTGTCGTTCCATCTGCAGGTGTTTTTTTGTGTTGCTTCTGCGCACGTAGTGTGTGCGTGTGTGTGTGTGTGTGTGTGTGAGACAGAGAGAGCGATGAACAGTAAAAGATCCTTTGCCCGCACCATCAAATCCTTTTATTCCTCTCTCTCTCTCTCTCTCTCTCTCTCTCTCTCTCTCTTTCCCTCTCTCCCTCGCACACTTCTAGGCGCTGCTTCCAGCAGACAACAGAATAACCATACATTCCCGTGCATACGTGCAGAAAACGAAGATAAGGTAACAAAACAGTGCGCAGCCGATTTGTGTCGATGTCGCAAGCACGCACGGTACAGGGTAAAACATTAAAAATATCTGAACGAGGCAGGGTGGTTTGAGTATTCATAACAAAAGAAAGAAATACTCTGGTAGCAACAGAAAAGCTATGCACAGTTCACGGTCGCATCGGTCGGTGGAAATTCTACCGTGCAGTCCAAATCAACACACACACACACACACGCGCGCAAAATACAGGCACATGCCCATCAGAGAGAGTCTGAACAAGCAACAGCAGCAAAGGGGGCGGCGCGCAGGAGAGGTGGAGAAAAAAAGTATGACAACGAGGTAGAATGTTAAAAGGCTCGTTCCATTGTCTCTATCTATCTAGCCAGCCAGCTCTCCTTGCACTGCTTCACATGCACTTTCTCCTCCGTCCTTTCGTTCCTATCCGTCCATGTCTTTGACATGTGGCGCGGCAGCCGCACGCGGTTGGGGTTTGCCCCGCGCGGCGACAGCAGCCGCCCCTTCATGGTGCCATTGCCGAATTTCGTTCAGCAGTTTGTCGTACCGCTCAACCAGATCAGCGTTGTACAACGGCTTCTGTGGCACACCGGCAGTGTTGATGTCATTATCAGATAGGAATGCTATCCGGTTATGCCGAGGACGCACGCCATCGCTATTGCCATTTTGCATGGGGCGACCGCTCTTCGGTAAAGACGCCCGACACAGCATCCTCAAACGCTCGTTGCTATCACCGCGCCGCGAAGGTGTTGAACTACCATTCCTACACTTGGGACTGTGCACTATCTCACTTGTTGTGTGAGAACGCCCGAAAGAGGGCGCCGCTGTAACAGCACCTTTGACCCCTCTGGTTACACCGTTGGAGAATGGCTTTGACGCCACAATTCCATTCGTCTTTTTCGTCGGGGGAACAAATGACACGCTCTTCTTCCCATTGGAATTGGAGTTGGGCATTGGGTGGGAATCCAATACCTTCTTCCCTGACACAGCTCCGTTAGGCACCGGTTTACGCAACGTTGTTGTTGTGTACGAGCGGGCGAATGGCTCCGGAACGCTACGAGTCGTGTTTCTAGTCTTTGTAGCAATGGCCTTTTCAAATTTGCTGCTGATGACCGGTGCAACCTTAGCATGCGGATCTTTCCGCCTCTGTGGGAGTTGCTTTCGTGGCATCGGTGGTGGTGCTAGTGTCGGTGGTGGCAATGGCTGTGGTACTGGATGTTGCCGTGCTACTCCGTTCTTTCTGGTCTTGCGGTCCCCCAGTATTCGCTGGAAGCGTGCCTCCATGCTCTCTACTGACGATAGCAGCGGCTGGGAGTCAATAAAAGACGACACCGGGGCGCTACCAGTCTTCATTGCGCGCTCAAAAACAGGAATGATGTCTGGCGTCGACAAGGCGGGAAGGTTTGCGAACACAAGCGCAAGTTGGGCCTCCTCCCTGCAGCTTGGGGCAGTTGATACATATGGAATCATACGTCGTATTGCCGAAACGCATACACTCAATGCCTGTGCGTATTCTTCTTCTCGGTTCATGATGGAACGGCACTCCTGGTGATAATGTGCAGCAAGACAATCGGCCTCTGTACAACTTTGCCGCAGTTTCACATTGTCCAAAAGAAGTTCAAGTAACGGATGCTGCTTCTCCCGAAGCAACTCTTGTCGAATATTAGCGATGATACGGTCCGTCTCATTCATTTTCGTCAGAATTCGCTCCATCTCATCTCCATGGGCAGCGGACTCAATTTCCATTTGTTTGATGGTGTGCCGAAGACCAGCGACTCCGACTGGTGTCACCTTCTCCGCATCGGCACCTCGACTATTGCTTCTCTTCCGGGATGAAAGAAACCGAGCAAGTTTCCACTTGTGTTGCCGGAGTCGGATGTCCAATTCGCTGTTGGCCTCCTGGGCATCCCGCATTTCCCGGTAGAGTGCTTCTTTTGCCACGGAGAACTTCTTCAGTTTATTTTGCAGCTCTGTGTATGCCTCAGATCCCTCTGACATCACTGGCATCCGTGTCGAAGCACGATGCGACTGATGCAGCAGAGTGGGTGACACATCTGGAGACACCTGCAACCCTTCCCTCTCCACACTACATGAAAAGGCCGTCAGGACAGGTATCAGCTCACCTTTTCCAGATGACGAAAGTTGAGCTGCAGACGGAACCTCAGCAGGCACCTGTGAAGCCTGCCGAGAGAATAATGGGCGTCCGACACTGGCTCCTAGGCCACCCATTTTTAGGCGTAATAACTCATCCCGTGCCAAAGCTAGCTCGGTGCGAAGCTCCTCGATAAGCGTCTCCTGGCTCTTTGCCACTTCCTTTGAGTCAACACGATATTCGTGTCGCTTAGCTGCTACTTGAATCTCCTTCGCCTGCATGGCGAAGAGCATGGTATTAATTGTTTCTTCGTACTGCAAGTTGCTGGGGCTGACACAAAATAGAATCAGTGTACGACAGTTTCCACCGAGGCCATCCTGCAGAAGCCGCGTCAGCTTGGAACCACGGTACGGAATATAGTTTACTTTCTTCGGATACTTCTTGCGCTGTGCCAATGCTTGCACCACCGCACCAAGTGCGAGGAGGGAGCGGTTGATATTCCCGCCCTCGCGCAAGCGAATGCCGCTGTTGCTCGTCCCAGCTGCTCGCTCTGACCCGGCCAAATCGCAGAAGCGGATGCGTCCAATGGTGCCCTGTGAAGCGTCAACGGTGTCTTTCACTTCCACCTCCAGCGTGAGGATCGCGTGTGAGCGACTAGAGTGAGCGTTGGCAGTCGTCGCCGCGACAACACGGTTCGCGTGGCCGCGCTCCACATACTTGGTGAAGTCCTCCGCGGTATCGGGTGTGACATATGTGAGGCCCTTCACCGTGAGGCTCTCTGGGTTGACGCCACAGCCAGCGGGGTCAACGACATCGTCCTGGCCAAAGTTCTGCACCTTCAGCGACGTGCGCCTCCCGCTCCGTGTACTGGCCGGTGCAAGCAAGTCGAACACCACCTCGTTGTACACCTCGAGGAAGCTGCAGCGCAACGTGACAGTCTTCATACCCTCCTCCTCCAGCCGTTCCTTCTCCTCTAGAATGTCCTGCACAGCCTGGTAGATGACACCCGCTACGCTCATGCTACCACCGAACATTGTGTGAGTCTTGCCGGAGCCCGTAGCGCCGTACGCTAAGATGGAGCCGTTGATGCCCTCAAATGTGCCGGACACAATATTTTGGCACGCCGCGTACACCTCGAGCTGCGTGCTGTGCGGGTGGAACACCTTATCGACAGTGAAGTGCTGCGGCCGTGGCTGGGCATGGGGGGCACCAAAATAGCGAAACGGCGTCTGTGGAACCACGCCCTGAACGAGTATAGAGTCTTTGAGACACTGCACAACGTTCTTCACGGAGGGATCGGCGCGCTCGATGGTGGATAGAGGACGGACGCGTACGATTACTTTTACGGAGTTCTGTTCTTTCTCCTTCGGTGCTTCAACCACAGAACTGTCGTCCTCATTCGCAGGGGCTTCCGCAGCTTTCACAGAACCCCCAATGGACATCTCTACTGGGCCTGTTTGGTGATATTCGTGTTAAACTCAACTATATATATATATATATATATGTTTAAGTATGTGCGTTATCCCCTTTTACCCGTCAGCCTGAAAGTGTCAAAGAAAACAGTATCAGCATCAATAGTAATAGTAATAGTAATAGTACCATCTTACACAGCAGCATCAGTCGGAGATATCACGCACCCATATAGAATGAGAGAAAAAAAAAAACAATCCAATAATGCAAGTAGAAGAGAGAGACTTGTGTTGCCATACTTGTGTCCGCCCTCACCCGATCTTCAGATGTCCTCGCAGATCCAGTCAAAATTTATCGATTTATTTCATCTTTGATTCATTTCAATGTCCTCACCCTTTTCTTATCGTCAAAACTTTCTTCTTCCTGCCTACGATTGATGCGCCGAGTAATTTCTCGCAATTCCTCCTGTTGCTGACGCTGTTCTTCTTGCAGCACCAGTGCGCTTTTAGCAAAGTTGGCAGTGCGTGGAATACACAGCACCGCGGTGCTGCCTCCACATGATGAGCTGTTCGACGGAGCAGCAGCTGCAGCTGCAGTATTAGCGTTCCCCCCGCTTCCAGCAAGAGGGGCGCTGTGGGCGGAACGCTGTAGCACCACAAATCGCATCTCTTCTCCTTCGCTCGCATTCTGCTCCTGTGCAACGGATGGTGATGTGTCCTGCTGCGTGCGCAGTCGCTGCTTCTGGCGGTGGAGGCGCATGCCCATCGCAAGCTCCTGCTCGAGGAGGCGCTCCGCCCCACCGCTCTTCGCGGTTGCGGGTGCCGCACGACTGACAGCCTCACGAGGGTTGTCAGCCATCAGCGCGCACAGCTTCGCGTCGAGCTCAGCCTCCTCGAGCCTCCGCCGCAATGCCTCCGCCGCAGCGAACTTGTCGTCTTCGTCATCATCTTCATCCTCACCATCATCATCCACTTGGTCTTCATCCTCTTCGCTTTCCCCAATATCCTCTTCCTCTTCATACTCTTCTTCTTCTTCTTCTTCTTCCTCCTCTCCTTCATGAGTCACCTCCGATACTGGGACAGAGAGGGCGCCAGGCGTGCTGGCGCCACTGCGGCTCTCGCTGTCGCTCGTGTCACCGCTGCCATCGCTGTCAATACTGCTGCTGTCTTCGTCGTCACTATCACTTACGCTGATGCTATTCTGGTCGACAGAGCCGCACCCTGGGTTGCTGTCTGTCATCTCGCTAAACGGACCGTTGACGCTCTCATCGCGGAGGAGTTCCAGTGGCGCCTGTACAGCATCTTCGCCTCCCGCCTCCGCCTCCGCCACTGTGATGGCGAGCGGCTCCTCCGGAGCCCGCGCCAAGAAGATGCGGCAGAGCAGTGCGTCATCGCGGCAGCTCGCCAGCACAGCTTCACGCACGCTGTCTACCCATGCGCTGGAAGGAAGGACGGTCTCCTTCGCGACAGCCTTGGCGAATGCCTGTGCCTCCTCTGCAGTCTCGGGGACCCTCATCCCGGATGCCTCCGCCGCACCTTCTACTGCATTGGCCGTCTCTTCTTGATCCTCCACCTTCTGCAGTTGCTGTTGCGACGATGACGGCGACTTATACTCCTTTGGCCGTGCACGGGATTCTTTCTCTGCCTCGTCCTTGACAAAGTTGCGACGCATATACTCATCAATGCGCCGAACGAGCTCTTCTAAGCGGTGCCGCAGCTCCAGTGGCAGCGGTTGTGCGAGGCTAAACATATGAACAAAAATAGCAGCCATTATCTTTCGCACAACCTGATACAGACCTTCTAGGCGCTCCATCGACCGCACTCCATGGCCTCCGGTGGAGCTACGGCTCTTCTCACGCGCTGCAATTTGCCACGGAAGGAACTGCACAGTTTCACTGAGCAAAATGACACAGCACCTTAGGTGTGTACAATTATTCTTTAGCGGAACGGCACGCGGGTTGTAGTACAGCAGCAGCATCACAATGTAGCCCACAAAGCGGAACGGCACCACACGCGCCCGGAACAAATTGGCCACAAAGACACAGTCGACGATACGCCACTGCTGAGGCCGGTACGCGGCACCGAGGCTGGCGGCCGCATCAGGGCGGTGAAGCAACTCACCCGTCATCATACCATCAGTCGCGTCACCGCACACCTCAAAGTCACGCCGCATGTCCTCTGCCACATTGTCCACGATGCGCCGCACCGCCCAAGCGTGGTCCGCGCGAACGAGGTCCGCCAACAGATCTGCCACCAGCGGGACGGTGTCCCAGCTCACATGGTGCACCTCGCGCAGTGTGTTAACGAGCATTTCGCTACTCTCTGCATCATTCCAGGGCATCTTCAGAAACTGTGCCCGCACTGATTCGTACGTCGCGGGGCAAAGAACACTGCAAAGCAAATACTGCACATACCGCTCGAGTGGGGTCCGCTCTACTGAAGTGAGCCGGCAAGTTGGGCTGGGCCCTTCATGCTCCTGCTGTTGTTTCAACAACGTGAGCGCCCTTTGCAGGGGTACGAGGGCCGGCTCCTCCAGTTCTGCGTGCTTCCCTGCGGCCTTGAGTTTCTCTATCACCTTCTCCGTCATCCTCTTTGTCGGATGACTGCGGAGCAAGTAGAGGCCGCCGTGCTCAAGGACAGCGCTAATAGCGGCGGTGCTGCAGTGGTGAGTCAAGTCTTCTGCTGCCGTCTTTAGTACGCCTAGCAACCGATTTGGTGGAATAATACCGAACTTCATCAGCTCACACATGTAATACAGAATGGCCGACACGCGGCGTTGCGATGTCGCACCGCCCAAGCCAGTAGATAATGACGCTGTTGGAGCCGCCGCCCTGTTCACCTTGCACTCCTGCCTCCACTGCGACTCCAGGTTTCCACTCAGGAAGTCACCGCTGTCGGGAAAATACTGGAACATGATGGCGGCACAGCGTGCAATTCTCGGCAACATCTCAGGCCGGTGAACCCATGGGTAGTGCCACAACTCCAAAGTCAACAACACGCGGCAGTTCGTAAAAAAAAGGCGGGCTGGCGCAGCATGCTCCTGCAACTGTTGCAGCGGCCGAAGTGCCTCTTGAAAAAAACTCTCGCACCATTCATCTACGGCATCTGCGGTCGTACACTGATCGAACTCTTCCAACAGCTGCAGCACAGCTGCGTATTCGTCAAACAAGGCTGCAGGAACCCCCAACTCTGCCATGCGGAGACGGCGGCGCTCCATCATTGCAGCGATACAACTGAAGCTACCACTTTTACTGTTAGTGTTTAGAAGCTTCTCATCCTTTGCACCTTCCATACTTGTATCCAACTCCATGATTTCTGCCTCATCATCCTCATTACCGTCCTCTACATCTCCTCCGGATGTTGCTGCTGCTGTCACCGGCCCACTCAATGCCTTTCGGCGCAATAGCGAATCCCAGTTTGCCTTCTCTGCCGTCAGCGATGGTAGTAAATCCTCTGGTAGAGCTTGGAGATCCGGAACGTACTCGTAGAACATACGTTGTTCATCGTCCGCGAAGCGGTTCAGTGTCTCTGCCTCCACCACGGCGTAGTTTTTCTTCGCTACCGACGTGAGTGTGATTTCAACAGAAGTCTTATGCTCTGTTATTGTCAAGTCAACCGGGGCCGGAGCAACAAATCCCAGCATCCCCAGCAGGTTGTCACACATCACGTAAAGCCTCTCCACATGCTCCTGAAACAGGCGGAACTGCGCCTCTTCTACACTTTGTCGTACCGTCTTCTCCCGAAGTTCAGTCTGCTCGTATATTGTCTGCCACCACCCCTCAGCCTTCTTTTTCCGGTGTTCATAAGCCGTGATGCTTACCTTCGCTGTGGCCAATACCAGCGTCGCAAACTGTCGCTTCTCCTCGTCCGTGCTGTAGTGCTCTACAGGAAGCCCCTGCGCCTCCCGCAACCTCGCCCAACTCGCCTCTTCCGCTTGCTGTGCAACAGCGTCGTCTACCGCTCCTACTGTCTTCGCCGCGGCGTTGAACGTCAGACGAGCCCCTGCAGGGCCTAAGAGGAACACCGTATTGCTTGCTTCGTCACCGCTCCCGTCAACTGTCAGGCTTCCGCAGTGGCCGGCAAAGTCGCGGAGGCGCCCCTGTCCATTATTTCCTCTATCCTCTGCGAAGAAGAATCGTAGCGCTGCGTTCCGCTTCCCAAGCATCTCGATGCCAACCTCACGTATTATAAGAATCGCCAAAGAAAGAAGTGTAGCGACGGCCAACGGGGCAGACGATATCGCGGCCCGCTTTTCCACGAGAGCGCAGAGCAGCTTCAGCAGGTTTAGCACCGGTCTAGCGTCCTCAAGGAGGCCCACAAGCCACCACTCACCAAAAACCCTGGCGACCAAACGCAGATGGTTAAACTCTTCTAACGGAGATTTACTCACAGATGGCGCAGCGCCACTGACCATGTTGCTGCTGCCACCACCGCCACTTGTAGCCGCGACGCCAGTGGATGCTGACGATGATACCGCGGGCGCCACAGCCGCCGTGGTGCTGCCGTCACCACCACCACCACCAGCGGGCACCGTCGCTGCTGCACTTTCTTCGATGCGCTCAACTGCCATCTTTAGTCCCTCCATATCGATTAGCTTCTCTGCGTTCTCTTTCAGCTCCTTCCGCACCAAGGGCCAGAAACCCTCATAGCGCTGGTGCACCTCTGAGCAGACGAGCGCGAGCGAATGGGCATCAGACGACTTCATCTTTGTCCCTTGACAAAGTGACTGCACGACACCTTGCGCCGCCTCAGAGAGAAACATGCCGAAACTAACAGTGTCAAGTTGTACTAGGATCGTCTTCTCTGATGATTCCGCGGAGTAATTTCTGAACCGTTTCGCCAGCGCGGTGGCCTTTTTCAGATCCGACTTGAGCGTCCCGCCTCTGGAGGCGAAAGCGCCACGTTGTAATGCCGGGTTCAAGTTCCGCTCCCGCAACTCCGCCCGACGGCGAAGAAGGTCCACAGTGGTGGAGGCCATGTGACTTAACTATAGTAATATATATTTCACCCTTAATGCTTCTATGCATGCGTGCAGACGTGTCGCGGAATGAAAGAAAGACAGTATAGAGAAGAAAAAAAAAAACGACATTAACAGGAATATTCAGGCACCCGCGGTGAACGGGGGTGATGGGGTAAGAGTGAGAGAGAAAGTCTGAAAACAAATCATCTGCGCCTCTTCACTTCTTCTGTTTTTTTTTGGTCGTTTTTGACTTTTTCTCAATCATACTTTCAAATGTCATTTTCCCAATTTTGAACTCTTCACAACTAGGAGTCACTTGTATATGTGTTTCTCTTTCCTTTCTCTATACTCTGAATGTGGAAATGAACACTTGATGCCTTTCTCTCTCTCTCTCTCTGCACTCTATGGGTATCTGTGCTTAGGTGTTGCAGCACATGCGAAGTGGCTGCTAGTGGTGCTCGTCTCCTTCTTCGTTCATTCCTTTCTCCCCTGTCACAGGTTCACGTCATGCCCCACATCTCCCCTTCCTCATTCTCCTTTTTATGTGTAGTCAGTTTCCTGCCACGTTTTATTGCGATGGGGCCCTTTCGTAACGGAGCTGCAGCTGCCCCTTGGCGTACTCCATGAGGTCTGCCTCATCCACGTTTCCCTCATCTTCCTCCTCCTCCCCCCTTCCTTCGTCTTCTCCTTTGGGGTCATCATCACCACCACTGACACTCACCATCGCTTCCTTAACACGCTCCTTCACGACCGACCACCGCATCTTCGCAATCTCCTGCTGAGTCAGGGCGCCGAGGAGGGCATCCAGTGTCGCATCGACCCGCTGCTGCACGAGAGGCGGGAGCCTTGCTGCAGCATCCTCACCTGGATCTGTGTCACCCGCTGCAACACTGCGAGCCGCGGAAACGGCCCGGTCACCTACCCCCGACACCACCGCTGTAGGTGGGCGGAATGGCACGTGAGTGAAAATGTGTACGTTTTCGTCGAGGTAGACGGTGCTGAGCGCCTCGGCAGCGGACTTCGACGCAACAAAGAAATTTGGTAACAGCACCCGCCCCGGATACCGTTTCAGCGCATCTGCACTGATCTGCCGCTGCCCCAAGCACTCTTGCATCACGCGGCTGCCAAGATCGCACACAACACGAGCGGCGTGACTGTCGCCGTCAAGCACGTCATCAGCCTGTTTGATTCGGCTTAAGAGTTCCACCACAAAGCTAGCGCACTGCGTGCCGTGACGGAAAAGCTCATCAAAGAGAAGATGCCACACTCGCTGGTACGCAACAAAGTGGTTCTCCTGCTCGCTACTATAGAAGGTGTGATGCGCCATGAAGAGCACCAGGAAAGGAATGGTGTACTCCAGGAAGCAGCCGAGGGCGCTGGGTGAAGAAAGTGTTGCACCGGACGCTACCTGCTTGGAGCGGAGGTAGTCGCCAACCTGTTGGACGAGGGTGCGAAGGTGCTGGTACCCGTTCTTTGTTTCCTCGCCAATGACGGTGAGCAAGAGAAGGGCCGCGTACCGCATATCACACGGGTGCTGTGTAAGATGAAGGGCCATCTTCTGCTGCAATGGACGCCGCACAACGGCTTCATCCTCAGCGGAGAGAATCACTGCCACCGCGAGCTCTTTGCCAATATCAGATGACGGTTTGATCACCAGCTTGCACAGCTGCTGGTTAATGGCACGACGGCGGTGACATGCGCCAACGGTGTGCGCATCGCGCTCACTGACTGCCTTGTATGCACCTAACAAAGTGTTGAGCGCCAATGAAACAGCACCCACAGCGCGATCGGTTGTGTAACTCAGCGCAACCGCCGCCACAAACTTCGCCGCTGCCTCCACGATCGTGGAAGCCAACGATAGATGAAGCGGCTCTGTTGTCTTTGCCTTAACTCGTGCTGAATCTTGCGATTCTTCATTGTCGCGCACAGCGGCGAAGAGAACCTCCTTGGCGATGCTCACCAGTGACTCGTCCTGCACGAGAGGTGCCGCGACACTGTCCTTCGCGAGGGCTGTCAGTGCCTTTAGCCACCCGACAGCTTTGGGCGTTGCGGGGGTAGTCTCGCTCTGCAGTCGGCTGCGCAGGGTGTAGACCAGCTGGCTGAGCGCCTTCGGCTCGCGCAGACTGGTGACGCTGAGGAGCGACATGAAGCTGCGGGCCGCGTGCTTACATACTGTCCCCGTCGTCACAGGAGTGGCGTCACGGAAGAGGGACTCATGGCTGCAGGTACAGAGTTTGCCTAGCGTCGTTAAGAGACCCTTCTTACGTGTGGCAATAGCTGCGATCGAGCCATCCTCACCATTATTATTGTCCGCCGCGGCTCTGCCCGCGTAGCCGGCCCACTCGGTGATGCAGTGCAGGAGCAACAGTACCCATGATAATGGGATGCTCGCATTACTGCTGTGGCACAGGAGCTCCAGGAAATCCACGAGTGACGTTGCGCAGCGTGGGAGGAACGACGGCGCTGTGCGGCCAAACACAAGCAATGCACGCAGCATGCCTTCCACGTCAGACTGCACCTCCGCATCGATTGGTGCATGTTTGTCACCACATACCCCACCGAGGGCATCTTTCAGCCGTGCAAGCAACTCGTCAATGTGCTCCGTTTCGAGTGGAAGCATCATCTGCCTCAATAAGGAATCCTGCAAAAACCTCAGCACAGGTCCGTCTACACGGCCCTTCAGCACCTTAATGAGAGACTCCCGCTCTGTGGCAAAACGGAGCTGTCTGTCACTGCAGCAGTTCAGGAACGCCTTGGAGATCTTGTCATCCTTGGCGCGGAACAGAGCGTCCCACTCGCCCCGCTCCGCATGTGTCATGGTCTGAAGGAAGTTGAGAAGCCGGTGGATGCTGTTAATCATCTCTTGTCCCTCCGGTGACTTGAGGTCTTTGCTTCGTACCTCCGTGCGCAATTCAAAAAGGCGAAGAATTGCAAGTCGCAGCTGCGCCTTCTTCGCGGCGAAGGTGAGCAACCTACTGAAGCTCCCCGGGGTTAGATGGCCACACATTTTGGCGAAACCATCAACGTACGTGCGCTCCCGTGTGGCACTCTCTTTTTCAAAGTCAAACAACACCATACTTGCCCGCTCCGACCGCCGACCACTGAGAGATGATCTGCCCGAGTTATTGAGTAATGTATTCGGCTTCATGACCTTCGACGGTGGTGGCAGCATCGACTCGAAGGAGGACTCTAGCAGCGCCACACCCCCCTCCGCATTGAGGCACCGCATCACCACATTGGGAATCCACGGGTAGAGCAGGGTTTGGTACATGCCGCACAACTGCTCGACCGAAGCCTGCCGCACTTTGAGATTTTTGTCGGCAACACGCAGTCCAAGTGTCCTCTCGAGTCTGTCGGACCCTACGAGCGACGGCTCGGCGGCTATGATGTCACCGTATGCGAAAACTGCCGCACGACGCACCAAAGCATGGGGGTCCACAAGGCGCTGCTGTAGGTGAGGCAGCAGCTCGCGCACCCGTTCCTCTGCCACGCTGATCGACGCCTGCGCGGCTGCTCGTATGATACCAGCGGCCAACTGCACCATCTCAATGCGTAGCATATGCTTCGTGTCATTGAATCGCGCCACAAGGGCAGCGAAGGCGTAGCGGTACGCCGAAACAGCTGTCTCGTGGGCACCAAATGCCATGAAGAAGCCGCGGAGCAGAATCAAGCGAATGTCAGTGTGCTCGTGCTCCAGGTACGGCACGAGGATCGGTACGAGTTGCCCGACGAGGTCAACGTGCAGCTCGACCAGCGCGACGAGGCACTCCATCACCCGGCCAACCTCGCGCAATCCACGCCGCCGCGCCTCGCTGTCGTCGTCGCCCGCTATCTTTGTCGCTGTCACCTCACCGACGCCGTGCTCAACCATCTCTGCTGCGTAGCTCGCGATGGCAGGCTGAATCACTTCCACTTGATCCAACAAAACTCGAGCAGCAATGACGGCACCGGGCTTTCGGTCTCTTTTCCGGGCTGTATTAGCTATAGTGTCGTTGTTGTTATTGTTATGGATGTTGGTGTTGTTCCGATTAGCCTCCGTGCGGCGCAATAATGTGGGCGAGGCGGCGATAATCTCCCTTAGGAGGGGGGCCAGCTGCTCTGACGTGATAGCGTGCGTCGCATTGAGAACATCGATGAGAATTCTTCCCATTTCTGCGGCAGTTATTGTCGTAATTGCGGTGTCACTATTAGCCTCTGTATTAGCGGCACTGCTTGTTGTGGAAGTCGTGGTGATGGCCCCAGCAGCCTGCTGCACACTCGAAAAGAGACTCGTGAGATGCTCCTGTACCGGCCGTCGACAATGTGGAATGATGCTCAGAAAGACGTGTGACGCACTTGCCCGCTCAATGATGTGCTCGCACGACTTTAGCGGCGCCTTTCCAAGGGCCACCTCGCTAAACGGGGAAACGAGACACGTCAGGACATCGTCCGCATGCTTTGTGTCAAACGGCAGCCCGGCCACATTTTTCCCTGGTGCCTGACTGCTGCCAAGCCGCACAAGGTCGGATAGCAGACACCCCGTCATCTGCTGCACGCCTGTAATGCTGCTCTTCAGGTAGCGTGGGCTGAGAAGCTCTTCAATGAATGCCGCATCGATTGAGAACGGCGGTTTGGCGGCGCGGAGCACACGATGGCACTCGAAGAGCCACGCCAGCAGCTGCGCGTCCGCCTTCTTATGGAGTGCAGTCCCGGAAAGAATGGTG